TTCCCTCCTTCTGAATAATTAGGCAGAATAATTGAAAAAAGTGGCATTGCTGGCCAGGGAAAAAGCATGAGGCCAAACAACTCATGAATATCCAGTTGCCTATTTTCCATTTACCATAGTAAGGACATACTTCAATCTGTCTATCCACTGTTTGCTACTATCTTTCATTCCTTTTCTCACTTTCAGTAAAAAGGAAGGATGTATAAGCACTGGGTACAAAGCTGACTATTTGTGTGTGTTAATTCTTCTGGGGAAAAAGGTATCCAGGGTTCGTCTCTAAAATATTGAAGTCAGCTAAACAATTTTGGAGGTAGAGGTTCCTGAGAGTCTTTCACTGGCAGTGGAGTATTTTCGAATCAATCTTTGGATAGGTGAATGTATATGTCAATTACGAGTCTAAATCAAAAAAAATTTGCTTGAAAACAGGCTAGTTTAACAAGACATTGTTTAGTGTGGCAGAAAACAGCCATGGAGTATGGGGCGGAGGTGGCAAAGGCAGCTGTGGAGAGCCCCACAACCCACTGTCAGCAATGCCTGCATGCTACGGCGCGGTGGGTGGCGTTGCCTCCACCCAGCAAGGCTTACCAAAATGGTGGTGACGATAAGCGTCCGGTTAGCCAAGGAATCTGTGATGTTGGTCGATCGGTCCTTGTTGCTGTCCGTCATGTTAAGGCCACTGTATGAGTTCCAAACCCCAATCTGTGCAGAAGAGAGAGGGTGAGCACCTGCCTGGCCGCGGTGAACCGAAACATTTCCCTAAACGCTCACCGCCTAGGAAGGGTGCACTGGCTCTAGTCACCACAGGAAGAGACACCAGCAGTACGAAATGCTAGAGGAGGGAAACGGCTGTAGGTCTGAGTAAGGCAGCAACATCAAATGGCTGATTTAGAAAACACAGGGAACATACCGCCCTTTCAAAAGAAGGTGGAAACGCATAAGCTGTAAGAGTATAAGGCATGTCAATACAGCGGTGTATGAGCCAATTTGCTACAAAAGTGGAACTTGTTGACTTTGTTTCCTGCTAAAAAAATGTCACATGTCTATTTTTGTGATTTTTTAATTTTTTTTTTTATTTCTGTAAATGGTAGAGTTGAAACATATGGCAAGACCTCTCTCTTCCAATACAACAGATTAAAAGCTTGAATAAATATGTTGAAGCAGATTGATGGATGCACTGGCCTTTTGCTTCCACTGTGCCTTCAGCAGGTTTAGCAAAGATTATTCTGTCATTTCTTGACTACTATATACGACAGAGCAAGCTAGGTGATACCATTTCACCCACTGATCAGTATTTGCTCAGTAAATGTAAGTGGCCAAAGGCAAATTCCTTTCTAGTCCCAGAGAGAGTGAAGAATTGCAGTATTTAATGCCCAGTCCAAAGCCTCAAGGGAAGAGACCTTCATTATTTCAGTGGATTTGGATCTATGCTTTGTGAGGGCAGAAATTATAACCATATTGATTTATTTAGGTAAATATTTACTAAACAAAAATGCAGTCTGAAAGCATTCTGAGGATTCTTTTGCCTTTGGATTTACATACACATCATGGCTGAGGGCTGATGTAAGAAGGCTCCAGGCAAGGAGCTGGCTCAGGCAGTTTGGTTTGCACCGGACATTTGTGGAGAGCACCAGCCGGATGGCTCGGGGGACGGGCATCAGCCACCCACAGAGCCGTTCGCATCGCCAGGCTGCTCTGCCGACATGTTTCAGCTCTGCCCGGGAGGGACCAGCTTTCAGATCCTCCCTGCTGGGATCGCCAGCGAAGTTGCCAAGAAAGTCTGAGACAAGCCCCGCTGCCTTGTCCTGTGTACTGAAGGTCTCTGTCTGCCGTCAGATGCTCCGTCATTTCAGACCCAGGCTGGACTCTTTTTCTTTGGTTGTTAACTGAGGCAGAGGTGGCATTGCCTTTGTACGAGACCCAGCAAATTAGTTCGTGCTGCTGAGTGTGGATTTGGTGTAATAACTGTACAATTTCAAACAAACTTCGGGGTTGTGTCCCTGGGTGCTGTCGCTTTCGCCTTTCACAAACAGTTTTTCCAAAATATGCTTAATGGGGATAGTCATGCCATTTTTAAAAATTATTTTTTCAAGTGTTTATCAGACATTCCCTTTGTTTCCAAAACTAGATCAGGTTGGGGAACTGATCTGGAAAGTACACACAAAATAAAATGTTGGATATTATGATAGCCTGTGCCAGGAATATAGTAAATAACCAGTGTCCTTGAATTTGCACCAAGGTGGCCAAGTTAATCAAAAAGCTGTTCTGCTCGTTGTTACTGACTTGATATACTTTTATCGGCTGGCATCAGGGAAGAGGAGAACAACCATGAAGAACATGGAACAACACAGTCACAGTGCATACAAAATACACCAGGAGACCACTCTGCGTCTGGATAAAAGAATGACACCGCAGGTCAACCTTGATTAGAGCGATGGAGGAGGTCGGAGGGGCACTGGAAGAATGAGGCCAAGGTAGTACATCACTATGGTGAATCTGGGGGATTTATTGCAGTTTAGTGACAAGTTTGAGAGGTGTCATATGCCCTTCTCAGCAAGCCTGTGCTCTGAACCAATTGTAATTCGGTTTAAATCAATTCAGTGTTACATGCAATGCCTAGAGTCAAAAGAGAGTTTGGTTCAATAGCGTTCTGCATGTCAGGTAGGATGATCTATTCACCAGTAATGAGGGAAATGGGGGCCTTTGTGCCTTAGCCTGATTCACTGAAGATTAAAACAAGGTTATTAAGTACAAACAAGAAAAGAGTGGTATAGGATGTTTTGCACTGGTCTAGTCTGTAGCATTAAAAACCCTCTCAAAACAGCAGCAAAACCTTTTTTAACTGTGTATGTGGGAGAGGTGGGAAATAATAAGATCTGTGTGAAATACAAAAGTTAATTCTAAGTTTTATACGAAATTTTAATCTTGTGAATCTAGAACACTTCAAACATGGTAAATGCAGTTGTTATCTGCTCCTTACAGAATGGCAGCCGTGGGTTGTACCTCCAGTGGGGAGCAGTGCATGGAGCTGGTCTCTGACTCCTACTTTTGTGCCTTATCCACTAGGCAGAGGCACCTCACGTTAAGAGGGCTGAGATTCCTGGGTTAATTTAGATCTTTTATAAACAAGCTTAGTTCCAATTTCCATGTGTTAGTGAATGACAGCATCCACTTAATCATTTATATTATTTTCTGTAAGGAGCTAATAACACACTTGGCAAAATTTTGAGTCAACAGTGCTCGAACATTGCCTGCACAGTACACATTTTGTGGGAGACAAACAAAACCCCCAACCCTGCACGTTAAAACAGTCCTTGCTGTTGATGCTAAAACCCATTTGAAATGGAGCAAATTTACCACTCATGGTGAATCTTAGGTGAATCAGGAAGGATAACAGCTGAAAAAAGGACTGCTTTTGCTGCAGCCAGGAGCATCTACTCAAAGAAGGGAAAAGCACAGCTCCGAATAAATAAATAAATTAACAATTAAATAAAAGACTTCGGTGAAAAAGCTGAATCCTGCCAAGATATTTTCACTATTTGGAATTACAGTGTCTTGATGTGGGACGAAACTTAATGCTGCCAGAAAAATTCATACTCTCAGATAGACTGTTGTCTCTAAACTGCAATATGCAAGTCACTATTAAAACCCAAAGGGTGAGTCTGAAGACCCACCCCAAAGGTTTTTTGCATCACCCATCTGTGTACAAACCTTCTTCCACACTTTATATAAATGATTAGAAACCTCGCCAGCAGCCTTGGTACAGAGAAAAATAAACAGAGTGCTTCATTAAAAAATGAAAAGAGAACCAGTCGGGAGAGCTGTGTGGGAGCAATTACGTTTAAAGTCTCAATTAACCCATCAGCAATTATAATTCGGAGTCAAGCCAGTGTGCACAGATCAAGGCACAACGCTGTCTCCCGCTGACATGACCTGTGTCAGGGATTTTTGGATACCCACAGCAGCCACCTCCTAGGCAGTGGTGGAGGGAGCCCTGCAGTGCCCACTGGGAGCCCATGTTTTCTGGCTGCGGGCTGGGGCAAGGCCATCCTGCCTCCCGCCAGGGCCCCCCAACTCTCCCATCGGTCCCCAGCGCGGGCCCCGGCTGGCAATGGCGAGGTTGGGATGCCGGCAGCAGCGCTGTCAGGCTAGCCTGAAACATGGCCAAAAGCGGCCGTGGCTTTGGGCTCCATCCTGTGGTCTCTGCAAGTCAAGGAGCTCTCCTGCCTTACACCTCTGCATCTTCAGGACAATTTATAAGTCATAAAGTGAGGAAAACAAGATCTTTTGACATGTTTGGGTGTTTTTTCAGAGGCATAATTCCCTGAGTATCCTGAAGGAACATGAATTTTATTTTATTTGTCTTTTGTTTGAACACAGAACCAGTTTCTGAAACTGTATCATGCAGAACTTTCTGTTTTCAAACAAAGACGTTGCAACTCACTTAGTCCCCTGTAGTCTCACTATTTCAGCACAATTTATGATAAGCAGTTAGGGATGTGAGCGAACAAGAACCAATCTAATCTCAAAAACATGAAGAATTTTTAACATCCCAACTCGTGTTGAGGTTATTACTCAAGCACTGTCTTTCCTCTCTCCCTCATGTCACATTTATTAAAAGCAGTACATGTAAGGTAAGTCTAGGTTTTATCTATTTATATGAATTTACCTCACCAAGTTACAGCGGCAAGAACTGAAGATAATATGTACTTAAAATAATTATTTCCATTTAGATAATTATTGCCAGTCCCAAATTCCTATCCCATTACTTTGACATGCAAGGTATGCATTGTAAAATAAAAAAAAAAACAATCTTAGTAACTCTGTTTTAACTTTGACTTAAATAATCTTGAGAATAGTGGGTTTTACCCCAAGCACAGTAGAGTCAAGTTCCTATGCCCCTGTCAGATTAGCTTTTTGTCACTGTTTTACAAAAGATCTAGTTACCTTTTCTGTTCCTTCCTCCTTGAGGCTAATAATGTCCAAATCAAAATCCTTCCGTAAGCCGTCAGTTTTGTTGAAGGTTATGCGCCCTGTCAGGCCATCCCACCGTGCCTGTGTGAACACAAAAACTCTTCCCTGTAACAATTAGTAGGAACTACTCGGAAGCCATAACAAATACTGCATTTTAAATTAACCGTAGCATTGATTCACTTCCAAATAATTTTTTAAACATATGTGGCTTTGTTATTTGCAGAAAAAACAATTTCTTCAACTTTTTTGTTATCTAGTTTCTCTTCAATATGTTTTGTATTTTACAATCAGGCACAAGTTTATGACAGTTCATACTTATTGATTTACCTATATCTAGTACTGTATATAAAAAGACATACTGAAGGGAGAGAAAGAGAGAATAAAATACGTCTTACATGTGCCCAAAGACAGGGCAGTTTTGCATTGCATAAGGATCACTAAGAAATTAAAAAAGGAGTCATCTGCTTTGTTCAAGCTTTGGGTCTGAACCTGGGAGTATGACACTCAATCCACCAGCCTCGCTGGAATGATCCTCCCTACCTTTTATGTTCTCCATGATGAATGGGTAACAAGTGGCAGTCGGTGCTGAACGGGAGTCCCCAGAAGGTCCTTAACGAACGAAGGTAGCTAACCATACCAAATTACCGCAGTTTTCTCAACACTTCAGTTGTGCATGTCCTAGCCTCATGTGATAGATACTGCCTCTGCTACTCAGGGCCCAGAAATCTAGATTTTTCCAGGAAGAGATAAATGAAAGAAGGCCTTTTGCCATTCTTGCTTGATTTCTTGGACAGGTTGATGTCCCCCGCCAGCACTGGACTCCTAATCTCCTGGACCTTGCTGAACTGTTTCACTAATCCCTACTCAGTTTGCATCCCCAAGGAAGATGACACAAGCTTCCAAGTAAGCAAAGGAGGTGTTCCATTCCTAATAGGAGCATTGCCACTGCCTGTGCTCACAGGTGTTGATGGCACTATGATGATGGCTCTAAAAGCCATTTTTCAGAAAAAGTTCACCCAGTCACAAAGACCTAATAAAAACTTTGTAGCATAGTAAGGTACAGGCAAGTATTACATACGCATTTGAAGTACAGCATATGAGTTGCGTACGATCAGTTTTGGTCCAGGCAGCATTTTACTGTTCTATCATAATTAAGAGAAATCACATTTTCCTTGTTTTAAACAATAGCGTCAGGAGTAAGTTAAAGTGGTGGACTTTGCACATCAGATTGTATAGCCATGGTCATTTTCTGTGCTGGGGAATGTTTCTTCAGTCCAGAACTAACTTTCTCTGCAATTTAAGTTTTCTGTATCTTGTGAGCTTCCCAGCAATCTCACTTCCTTTTAAATGAGATCTATCTGTCTCTCATATAGCCCCCATTTTGTCCCCAAAGCTGAAGCTTATCTATAAAAGAAAGTATTGGATGGATTTCAAACTGTGGACGATTTTTATGATCTAATTTTAGGAACTCCTGCATTAGATTAAATTCTTCAAAGATACAAGAAAGGCTCATGATAAATGATGTCATAGTTGCTTCATGTGTGTTAGCCATATAATTCTTAAATTACAAGCTTTTCTACTGCACGTTGTTATTTGCTTCGTTTAATTTGTTGTAGACAGATGACATAAGGAAAGCTGCATTAAAAATCAGCAGACTTGCAGAATGGTGTCTCCCCTTCCTGTTAAATCTAAATTCTAGCTCTGAATCTGCAGGATTTAATCTCAGATGCTGGGGTGATATCACCATGTGTCTCAGACAAAGATGGTGCATCTAGAATTTTGTGGAAATATAGCAGGATTTTTTTTGCTTAGGTAAAATAAGAATGGAAAAGCACAAATGCAACAAACTTCCTATGAGACTTTCCATCTTAATGATGCGGGAACACACGAAAATCTCAGCTGTAAGCACTGAAACACTTGTGGGTTTGTATGCTGATAAAATTAAGATAGCAGGAGGGACACACATGAGTGCATTTCATTATATAATAGCTCTTTTCCAGTCTGTCTTTTTATTACTCTGACATAACCTCCATCTCTTATTCATAAGGATAGAACGTTTTTTAAAATATGATCTTTAGAGATCAATTCCTCCCAGGAGGGCAATTTGCTTCTGTGAAATGCTCACATTTATTGATTGCATATCAGATGCTCAGCTTCTCTGCTAACGTGATATGATCTTGAATAAAGGAACCAATATGTTATTTCTGGAAATGGTGTCAGGAGCCTACATCTCCATTCTTGTAAAAAAGATTTATATGATGAAGTGCTATCTCCCTTTTGAAAATAGACATTGATACTTCTACCCCCACACTAAAAAACAATGGAAGGAAAAGATGTTACAAGCTGCATAGGTGTATGCTTAAATTTCAAGGTAGCAGCAAAGTACATATAGTCTTTGTCTAACTTAAGTCCCACTTAGACCATCAAATGATGACCCAAATGTGACTTAAATTATAAAAAGGAGTCAGGGAGTGTTTCTCAGAAGAGTAAAGCTTAAATGTTGAAGGGTTTTTTCAGACCTAATTATGAGGCGCATGCTTCAAATACCATTTGAATTCTAAATTTAATTTCTGATTTTTATTTTTTTTATTCTAAATAAAAATAAAACACTTGGGTTTGAGTCCAGTGAGCATCTTTATTTTTTTATTCTTCAAGACAGTTGTGGCACCTGTGTGTTCAGCACGTCTAGACAGACAGGTGATGTTCCTTTACTGATCAGAAACAAAAGTTTTCTTTAAGAAACCAAGGGGAGGGATGAGCTAGGAACCTACGGTCCGTCCCAGGCCTTCTGAAGTCTGTGGTAAAACTTCCAAGATTTTAATAAGGTTTGAGTCCTAAAGCACAACTCCATGCAAAGACAGTGAAATGTATCATTGCTTCGAAATCATAGCGGCATACCGCCACTTCTAGATGCCTGTCAGCTAAATCAAGGATGCGAGTGCCTCCTGGGCGCCGGGTGCAGGCGAACAGAATAGGCAGCAGTTGCACAGCTCTCAAATGCAATTAACAAACAGAAATGAAGCAGAACTTTCTCAATAGTCGGAAACCGCACGACTGTTTAACACAGCAATGAGATTTCAAGCTTTTATATGCAAGATTTATAGCGATTTTAATGTTTCGAGTGACACTCCATGTTAAAAGTTACAGGATATAATAAAAGTGGAATCGGAACCTAATCATGTAATTCATCAAAAGAAATTGCTTTTTTGCACTCTGTCCTTGCTTTAATATTAAAGGAACTAAGGGCACAATTTGAAACTCTCAGGGAGGGAATGTATTTTCAATTTTGTTTGTATAATTTTGAGTAAAGCTTGGAGCTTAATTAAAAAATGCTATTTTCAGTGGCTTCTGTTTGTAACGTCCTTTGCTTGTCTTAGATCTCATTTATGCAAGGTTGCAGGCTGCCTCTGACAACAGAACCGTGAGGAAATGCTGTTCTTTTGGGAGTTTGGTTTGCAGCAGTAGGGCAATGCAGTGTTTGCCCGAGGTTCAAAATAAGGTCTCACATTCTTCAATACCATGTTTTATCTGATAATTATTATTCCTAACTTGTAAACATTTGGTGACTTTCTCTTATTTATTGAGCAAAATGGGGGAATAATCCAGTATGTTGGTTTCAACTGGTAGTTGGGAAGCAAACCATACAAGACCAGCAGCTGCTCAGAGCCTTTCTTGCTAAGCATTGAAAATGTAGATAGAACAGATTACAGATAAGTCTTCCCTCATCTCTGAAGGCTGTCAAGTATCTGACATGGTAAAAATATCCAAAGCAACCTAATTAAAACTGTGAAACTTTCTATTTTTACTACAGTAAAAATATTAAGGTTGTGGGTAGACTACAAACAGAAATCTGGGGTTAAATATTCAAATGACAATATTGGTTTCCATATAAATATATTGATGGAAAATTATAACAGCTGGGAAATGAAACTGCCTCAGCTTCTAAGAGCAAATACTCCAGTAGCTTGCTATCAACTCACACCACCACCATCATACGGTCTTTATATCAATTTCTACTTCATCATCTTGAATCAGTTAGTATGGCAGCCTTAGTTTCAGCCAAAGCCAATCAACAGTTCAATCACAGAATCAACTAGTTCAAGTGCTACCAGACTTACTAAGGTAAAACAACAGGTACACTTCATAGTCTGTTTCTTTTGTCTCTACCAGACCTCACTTCTTATATTTCCAGATTTGTATTAGCAAGACATAACTACATCAAGAAATCATAATGCACAGTGTATATAATGCATTGATGAAGTAAATATTCAGCTTTATGATATAGCCTCAAAGGGATATAGCCAATTTTGTAGATACTGTATTGTGCTACTGCACACAAAAGTGTCAATCTTTCTCAGACAAATTGATTGCATTCTTATTATGTATTTGGGTGTTTTTTTAATTCAATATATGTTTATCCAAATATTTTAGTTAACTGTTTATCTTCCTATGGCACATTTTCTCTTTCTGAGTCCAGTGTCACAATGACAGTTGTGTTTCAGATTAGAAAAAACTAAATTTTTCAAGGTCCTTTTTAAAGTGTTCAAAGTGCCCTGGCAATACAAAAAGGAAAAGGCATGATCTTATTTTAACTTTTTTAAACTACTATGTTTAATAATGTTTCATATGTGCAGATATTTCCACTCTTCTATTAATATTCCACTTACTCCAATAACCTGTGAAATCAAATAGTTTTTCTGAACCTGTCCTTTAGACTGCCACTTGTAATTAATCAAGCAATCTCTTTAGAATTTCAAACTCAAGTTTTAACCTTTTATTGTTCCCATTGTTCAAAAAATAAGACCTCCCATTTTGAACATACATCCAGATCTAATGTTAGAAGAAAACATCCAAAACACAAATATGCACCCCAAATGCAACTGATGCAACTGTGACTATATCAGTTACGAAATATGTGTACATATGGAATCTGCTTTAAATGGTATAAGGAGAAACTGTCATAACTCTTAACAAATTTTTAAAATACATAGACTAAAGGGTTGATAAAAATTCTGAGTGAAAAGCCAAGAAGAAAACCTATTTTAGCACAGTAGTGTGGCAGAAAATGAACTATTCATTGTTGTTCAGCTCCAAAACCCTGCATAATACCAGGTTCCATCCTGACTTTGTGCAAGATACTCAGACACTTTGCATCTGCCACTGAAGCCTGAATTATTGTTTAATATTAAAGTATTGTAAATTGATGATAAACAACATCTAATGTGAAGACTATTCTTGCATATAAATGCAATGCTAAATGACAGTAATCTTTATTCAAAAGCCTTACAAATGCATGTGGGCACACAAAAAATACCCTACTGCAATTGACTTGAGAAATTCCCACAGTAGATAACGGGCCATATTTAGTTATCTATTTTGTAAAACTGTCACTATATTTTTTATGTCTTTTTTTTTTTTTCTTTCTCTTGCTGTTTATGTGTAACTTCAACATTTTGAAATCTTATCCTAAAGGCATGCATTCAGTGGAGTTTTTCTACAGATTTAGGGGGAGCTTGGAACAGAAATGGGTTAGCTGGACTGTTCAGTGTGGAAGAAATACATTCAGAAACTTCTTTCTGTATAGAGCAAGGTTATCATTTGCTTAAATGCCTTGAGTTTGGAAGAAAAGATTCCAGCAATGACATTCTGAATTATCATCATGATTTCAAAACACAGGTAAAATAACATCCTAAGACAATAAAGATGTCCTTGTTGCATAATTCCATTTCTTGATGCTGGGTCAGTTTCTGTCCTTTTGTACAGGGAAGGACTGGATGTGTCTTTTTTTTTTTTATTAGTTTTACTCTTGAAGAAAGTGTCATCCACAGACCAGAGTCACATGATGCTAGATGCTTTAAAAACTGCAGAACATGTTCAACATTTGCAATACTCTTCCTGTATACAAATAAGCTAAATTAAGGTCTCATTTTAAATCTTTAACAATGAAAAATGTTGTGATAATTTAAGCAGGCTTCTTCAGGGACTTAATTTTACTAATCCTTGTCTTTGTTGCAGACTGGAGACATTCTATGAGACACACTATTTATTACTTGTAGAAAAGAGAATCAGCTAGCAGAGGGCTGGAAAACGCTTTATAAATTTTAGGGAAAATGTTTCTTGAGCTTGAAGGCATTTGAGCCTGGCTGGCTTTCCAGTGTAACTGGGACATCTTCACAGAAGAATTATTACAAATAAGTTGAGACAGAGTCTTGAAAGTTTTACAGTCATGGTAGTGCCTGTATGACCAAGTCCACTTATCTTGTTGCTTTCTGTGGTCATTACATTAGCCTACACAAAGAATTAGTTCAGCTCAGAGGATTCTTGAGAGCTTTTAATGTCACACCACCAAAGGATGGTTGTATTCAATTACCCAATGCAGAATCTAGATGGATTGTTCTCACTGTGGGTCTCTAGTAACTAGGTGTGCTTGAAACTTACCTTGTCAAAAACACAACATAAACTGAAATGTAGAAGTAAATGCTTCAGATTTCTTTTTGAGATTGGTGTGTTTGATTCTGTTTGAGGGGATTTAATAAAGATCCTAAAGATAAAGTCTGCATCTCTATCTTCTGCAATGTTTCTTTACACAGTAGTTCCTTTAATTGTTACTGGATTTGAGTGAAGGATGCTCACATTGGTTTAGGTGACAATTGAGTAACAGACAAACATTATTTGGGGCTTATCTCATGCTTTAAAGGAGACATTACCAGGGAATTTGATCATTTAATTATAAATACTTGTTTCATGTTTACACAGATTTTTCTTTTAGGAAAAGTGGACTCATGCCTTCTCTCCTTATTCCCTCTCTGAAGAGAGAGAATGACCTCCTTTTTCTTTCTAGGCACGGGTAAGATGTACTCCTTGCAAATGCTTCCATAAGGACTAAAAGATTAAAATATCATTTAGATATCAATGACATTAAGTCACTGAGAAAGACAAGTTTCTGACAAGGATTTACTTTTCATTAAAAAAGTCTACATGAGCTATTGTAGAAAAGTCTTGATCCCTGACAGTGTATTTTATTTAATATCCTCCTTCGCGGGAGCTAGCTGATGACCTCTCTGACCTCAGAGCCACCCTCAGGGCTGGGGGGTTTTGGTCAGGCTTGCTTTTCTCTGCAAATTTCCAAATGTTTCCTATGATCAGCATTAGCTCCTTGGATCTTTAAAGCATAGAAGATTACTCTTTCTGTTGCTGTACTTGATTGTTCTGTAGCCTCAAAAATTTTTGCTAGTGCTTTTCTCCTATAGTCTTTCTGGTAGCATTTCAAGTCTTGGTCATAAAGAAAAACAGGCAGTGGATCTGCTACTGCTGTTACCTGGTACACTTACCTGAAGTCCTAAGGGTGAGGAAGGAGTATTCTCACATTAAACTAGCCACCTTACGTTTTCACATACTCTGAAAAGTCAGAAACCAACTCCAATGCACGTATATTCAGACCAGCATAAATCTAAAGGCAGTATTTTCCCCTAGGATGCCCACTTTCCAGTTGCTTTCAGAAGCTAACTTGTGTGTACCTGAGGACCAGATATGACCTGAACCTTGACTTCTCAGCAGGACAGTGACAGGCTGAAAAAAATTAATTTGCCATCTGCTGAGTGAAGAGAGAAGCAGCTGATCAGCTGCAATACAAGTCAGAGGCTTTCCACCTCAATCTCTGCTCATGTCCAGGTGGGTTCTGAGGTCCTTTCTATTACTATCAGCCTGGCATTTTATAGCATCGACCCGCAAAGCAAATGAGATGACTGCAGTTCTTATCACCACTAAAATAAAATGCAAAAACCCACCACGGAGCCATTGAAGTACTTGCTAAGCTCTAGCACCGGCAGGACGCATTGCAGGAAACCTCTTTGTCTGAAAGTTGTTTATTTAGACTAGAGTACAGAATATTTGTCTTCAGACCAGTCTGTAAAATGCCTTCACAGACTGTCAGTACCGTATCACAAAATAGTAAAACTTAATTTTATTTATGTGAGCTCAAACTATCATTCTGCCTGCTTGACATTTTTTTACCCATATCTATTCACTTGATTCCAAATTTATACAGTTCTTCTATCTTTGCTTATCAAACCAGACCCTAACATGAATTGGGGCGGTCCAAATGTATTTGTTATTCAGTTTCCAACACCTGCTATAGTTTTTATGGGAAATGTAATATTGTCTTATTAAACCTTATCCTGTACTTTGAAGAATCATCTTTTTCGGCTAGAACAGAAATAGGAAGATTAGATTCTTGGAATATTTAAATCAGTGTTTTACTGACCGTGAAAGACACTGTCTGTAAAGTAATCAGTAATTAGCTCACAGATCTCGCTCAATGCAAGAGAAACTAGCTGTACATGATAAATGTGAACTGTATAACTGTTTAAGCTTTGAATTGGATCAGCTGAGATATGTCTGGTGCTCTTGGTCAAAATACTTCTTCTGGCTTAGGATTCAGGACCCTTATACTATCCACTTAACACCAACCAAAATAAGTACATCTCCACTGTAGAATTATGCAGGTGCATTCCCTGATACAAGGTCTTTTGCTAACTTCCAGTTTCATTATAATTACTCTTAAAATGCACCAGAAATTGCATGAGTAGCAATGCTACCTTATTTAGTTTGAGGTTGAGCAGTATAAGAGCAAAGGCTCCCACTTAGATCAAATCAGAAGGTTGGGGGGGGAAGTTCATTTTTATTACAGACAATTGTGAGACAATTTTCTCCTGTCTCTTACTGTTCCTGCTACTGTCTGCCCACCTCCTCCCCAGCGGGGCAGCTGGATGCAGCATGGCTGATGTCAGTGAGAGAGAAATAATCTTTACCAGTACTGCTTCCCTATCTCCTCTGGGTATTCCATGACTGTGTTGCAGTGAGGAAAGTATCTCAAAGCATCCTTAATTCTTAAGTCAGGTCCCTGAGTACTGTGGTAACTCTTGTCTTTTCTTTATACTTTCAAAGAGAAAGTCTTACAAGGAAACCTTAAAATTCATGCAATACCCTGTGTGGAGAGTACTGTTTCAGTAACTTTCAATGCTTTCTGTGTAGGTGAATCACCATGTTGCATATTGCTTATGGCAATTCTAAAAAATTTACTTGGAAAGGTTTGGAGAAAGTGATGACAGCTCTTCTACATGTTCTGTAACAGCCACGGATCTTACCTTTCAGTTTGCTCCTAATATATTCCTGGATTCAGGTGTATGCCCTGATGTGCTGCCACAACTTACCTTGTATCTCCGCCTGCAGGTCCTTGTTCCACCTACATAAGTGCGAATGAATGTGGCTTTGATACAAATCACACTATCATGGACAAGAAGTTGGGGAAAAGATAAAATATATGCAGGAAACTCCACACAATTTCCAATTTTCATTTCCACACACTTCCCTGAAGGAGAAGTTTCCATTTGGAATTCATAATAAAGACTGAATTTTTGGAAGAGTGAAGGCATTTCAGCTAAAACATCTATTTTTTTAGAACATCTGTGTATCAAGATAGCTCAGTGATGCATTCTTATGAGACAGTGCATGACTTCATGAAGCAATTTACTTTTTTAGAAATAATGGCTGCAATATTTTCTGGATATTGATTACTGATCAAACAATCTGAAAAACATTTGGAATTAAGTGGTGAAACAAGGACAGAGCTACAGACTCACTTTTCTTTCAATTTCTAGAATGGCTGTTGTTCGTTATCTCATACCTTTAGAAATTATAAACATCCATAATAAACATTAACTGAGAAAAAAAATGGGAAGTCTTATGGGTGTGTTAGTCAGAGATTTATCACACCTAGCGTTTAGCAGTTTCTGTTTTTGAAAGACCAGATAAAGTCTCCACCAGAATGCAAGCCACAGCCTCGTGTCTGTAAATCAATGTTTCTCTGCTAGGAAGATGAGGAAGCATTGGATATCTGAGTGCCAGAAACCAGAGCATAGCATATGACAAAGACCAGGGAGCAACACAAGACAATGCGGTAAAGAAGAAAAGAAGGATGATGCTGACCATAAGCAGATGGTCTACACTTGCCTCTTTTATCAGATTCATAAATCTAGGTCCAAAACGCCATGGCTTGTGTCTGTGGCACTGCAGGGAGCTGACAGTTATTTGGGAGGCACGCTGGGAGGCCACTGCTACCATGTAAACAGCATCGTACATCAGAGCCGCTTCAGTCTGCATGAAAAAACAGAAAGGCTTTCTTTAATGCACATCTTTGTGCCCGGTCCCTGCTTTTCTCTACCAAGAACCATTTCCCTGGGCTGCTGTTATGGAAAAGACCACTACTGGGCTCTCCATGGAGAACTGAGGTGTAACAAAATCCTTTTTTTTTTTTTCTTGCAGCTTGTATTGATTTCAGAGTATTTTCAGGCGAGCATTGGAAGAAAACTACATTGGGTAGCTACAAGAAGAGAGAGGTCAGTGGGTCCAGCATAGAGTGGAGTGTGTGGGTAGCTCTGCGACACGGAGAGGAGTTTTAAGAAGCCTCAGGTGATAGAGCAGCCCAGGTCCCATCCTCCAGGCATGTCTTAGGGCCAAGCACTTTGCAGTACTCAGTCTCCTGTAGCTTCCTCATGGGATTTGCCAAAGACCTTTGAGGTTTGCACCTGAAGGTGTGTCATCTGAAAGCGCCATGCAGGTGCTCAAGCCAGTCTCTGCCCAGCCTGCAGGTTAGCGTGTCATGGTGGCATGCCATGGGAGCATGTGGCAGGGCTGCCCGTGTGCGGCCTGTGCTAGCTCCCCATCACCGCTCCTCTCATGGCGCTTGTGGGATTGCTTTCTTCTCCAAGGGGTAGGCAGGCCCTGCTCTCCAGGGAAATGAATCCCACTGAGCACCTGGCAGGTATCCCACCAGACAGGTGTCTACTGTCTTTGAGTGTCTACTGCTCTCAAGGATTTTGGCTTTTGGCAAAAATATGTGAAAAGGCCTCATTGAGATTTGGCCAGGGCTGTTCCCCTGCCACGCCTCCCATACCATCTTAGAAAAAACAGTCCTTTCAAGGTGCTTTTTTGGTATTTAAGTTGGATTTACACATCTAACTTCTATTTGTCTAAGACAGGACAGATGAATATAGCCCTTAGATAACTAAACATTACTAAAATTACTGGATGCTGGTTGTGCATCTGTGTTTCTTTTGAGAATGGGTTTATTGGTTTAAAATCATGCCCAGTAAGCCTCAAGCTGAGATCACACCCTTTATTGTCCTTTATCACTGGGATGTTTTAGAAAAATCTTGCCTTCATCTGCACTGTGCTTCAGTGCTTTCATGTGTGAGGTAGGAATAGCCATGTTTCGCTTAATGCGCAGGGACGCTGTAAAAATGAAGTGCTTACCTTTCTTGTAAAGCTACTGAATAATTAAGTAGGGTCTTAAAAAAAAGTACTAACTCTGCAGATGAGAAACTGGACTCATTTATATGAACAGCAAAGCTAAACCATTTTTTATTCCTTTCCCATGCAATTCCTTTGGGAAATTAATAGATTTGATTCTTTGTCTGTTTCATTTACCTAAGTAAATTACAACAGCATCAGTCTTATCAGCATTGGAGGTTTTTGCTGGCAATCAAATGTGATCTGAATTTATCAACTAATCGTAATATACTGCAGATGAGAAATTGCTCTTGACACGCTAGACAAGATCTGCCCAAAACAATCCCACAATCAGAACAAATTGAAAACATTATAAACGGTGAGGCAAGCAGGAGACAATAACAGCTGTTCTCAGCGTTGAATGTCTTAAAACAGACAGTTGTTCCAAGCAGACCCAGAGACTGAAGGCCTGATCCAAAATCCCTCAAAATCAATGGAAAGATTCCATCATTGTCAGTGGGCTTCAGAACGGTTTTCACATTAGACTGGGGACACGTCCATTCAGGATTGATTTTTACTTGATCACTGAAGTCCCAGTCTGCCTGTGTCCCAGGCCTAGAGTCTCTGGAGATATTTGGTAAAAATGATTCAGTGCACCTCACTTTGCACTCCTGCCTGGGAGCGCTTTTACTTGATAACATGGTGCACCCCACAGTGTTTGTATGTTGGCAGCATTGCCAGACTTGGCTGTTTGAATCTCACACTTGTGTAACTTGTTACTTATCCATCCTGCCATGCAGCAACTGGGATGTTATATTACTTCCCTTAGCCTTTTATTTCTCCCCTCACTGTTGTTCTGTTTTTAGGGCTTGGGGTTGCGTGGAGGAACAAAAGGTCATGTTTTCTGAAGAAAACAGCCTTATTATTGATGTCTGTACTTGTGCATAAGAAGAAAGGGACTAAGAGTTAATCCTGGGCCTTGTTTTTCTTATTTTTTTATTCTATTAAAATTATTGCAAAGAAATCCAAAGATCCCATTAGAATAACTATGCTTCTGTGTGCAATTTGGGCATAAAGTGGGATGGGAACTCAAAACTGTCTTGGTCATGCCCTGTTGACTTCCTACAAGCTGACATTGAGGCAAACAATATAGCATGAACCAGAAGGGAGAAATCCTGAGTTAACAACATGACATGTAATCCTGATCTCCTTATACTGTGCAGCTTGTCACAGCCTTATTGTCTAATGAAATACAGCAGTATTGCAGCTCTCCATCAATCTGAATCAGCAGAACTTGCTATGAATATTTAAATGATCACAACCAAATAGGAAGATGCTTTTCTTGGTGCTCATGCTGTTTCAGAGCATCAAGGACACTAAGAGATTACAGAGATGCAAAGGAGAGGATAAGAGTCAGAGATACAAAGGAGAGCATTAGAGTCTAGTAAGAACTTTGTTTTTCCTAGTTTTACAGTTGGGTGAACGCAGGTGAATAGCTCTGTGTGAATAGCTACCCTTGCAGTTCTTGCGTGTTGACATCAGAAGCTCCCAGGGACAGCTTTCTGCCCTGCTTTCCCGTATGGGTGAGCACAACGGCACTGCCCAAACAAAAACCACCTTTTTGAAATGCTAGAGATAGCACACATAATGCATTTCTTTTCAGGATGTTCGGATGTTTCAAAATTTTCCCTGCAATCATCTGCAATAAAGTCTATTTCATTTGACTTCAAACTCCACTCAGTACATGAGAGACATTATCTTATATTGCAAAAAGATGGTAACCCTTCACTCTGAAAAACTGAATGGAGTGACGATGTTCATGTAATTGTTCCTATTCTTTTCTTTACTTCTTGGGGGAGTGGTAAGGAGGAAATCCTGATTTCCTGGCTTGATGATACCTTTCATTTATCTTTAAATTATATCTCAAAAGACAGAATTGCTGTAGATGATGGAAATAAAGAGAAAGGGCACTTCTCCAATTTAAAAAAGCTATTACCTGTCCACATGTACAGTATTCCCTGCAGGTTATAAATTGTATATCTGCTGTGAAAGTTTTTATTTCCTGTTATGTTCTTCACTCCATGCAGAACATATTAGCAGAGAAATGAGGCAGCAGTATATACATTTGACAGCAATAAGATGAATGATGTTAGCTGGATGGCACCATGACAGAGAATTGTCACTCATCTTTAGAGCTGCCCAGGAGTGCTTTATCACACAGATGAGTACAACATTGGTTCATGGGGCAAATGCAGTCCTGTGTAAAGGTGGGTAAAAGGCAGTCTGTTTTGGGGATGCTGCTTCAGCATTTGCATTGTGAAATAAAGCAGTAATGGGATTGGTTCACATCTGCTAGAACAGCATTGCAAAGTGCACTGTAGACACCCCTGCATCATTGTGTTTGTCCACTTACTGTCATCATGCCATCGAGGAGGCCAGTCTCTGGTTTCGGTGGTGCCTGCAGACGCTCCATTGACCATTTCTCAATGACTGATGAAACTTGAGGGTTCTCAATGTTGAGCAGGCGAAACCCTGTCATATTTACGCCGCTGTATCTGTAGGGTTCCAAGTCTAATGCAAATAGATCCTAAATCACCGTTAAGAAAACAAACAAAACCAGATGTAGTATTTTTAAAGCAAAATGTTCAGAAGGTACAATTAGGCCAAGATTGTATTTGATTTTCAACCCAAAGCTCAAGTGCTGTGGTTTTTTTCCCTGTGAATGGTCCGCTTGCCCTCAAAGCCTAGTCCTGACTGCTTCCGTTATAAATCTGAATAAACCAAAGCTGTGTGAAATTTATGACAAACCACATATCTGCTATTTGGAACATAAATATCAGTTCCCCACAACAACACCATTGTGCAACCAACCTGCACAGCAGTATCTAATTTTAATTTATAGCAGTCCTCTAAGAGTGTTACAGCTCCAACACACCAACATGAGGAATTAGCTGGCCAATGTCAAGCTTATTTCTCAATTCGAGAAAGAAAAATTCCAAAAGATGTCCAGAGAGATACAATTTTACTACTTATGAATCCCATTTTTCTCCTGCCTCGCCTCCTTCAGGTGACTTGCTGCCAGTATGTCTAATGGACATGTCAGGCCAGTGCATGGTAAGTCCATGCGCTTCAGTGCTCGGCATTTACAGGGCAGGAAAATAATGGGTATTCTAAGTGCTATAATTGTGTGGCACACTCCACAGCTGTATTTATCAGGCAGTGGAAATATGATAACTGCTTCTCAAAGCCTGAAGGCTGTTTTTCAAAACAACTTTTTGCAGATCCCAGCAGGCCAGTAAAATGACAAATGTGTTGGTCATGGTTTAATACCACAGTAACCCTCAAAACGTCAACATTTATAATACCTCAACACCCGGATACCACCAGCACTGCTTACTGATTGTTCTAAGATGTGCTCTATACTCTCGCATGTGTATTGTTGTTGGTGGTTACCATTTTATGTTAGATCGTTTATTATATTGTTTATTGTATAAAACTGCACGTTCCACAGTAAATCCTGAATTTTCTTCGTTTTCTTGATGTTAAAATGGCCTTGAACAGAACTATTTCAAGCTACTACTTCAAGTTCCAAACAGCTAGAGAGTCTTTTCCAACCAATTAATTGATTATTGGATTCAAAAAGTTTTTTCACTTCCACATAAAATTTTATATGGAAAAGAAATAAAGCATAAGCTGATGCACATGATATAATCGGCCATCTAGGACTGTTCTAGCAATATTGGTTCTTTGCTGTCTTTCTAGTCTACAATGCAAATGGACCTTAAGCATGAATTGAGCTATATTTATATAGAGCATATATGTTAAAATATAGGAAAAATGTGCTGAAATAAGTATTTATAGATTTGTATCATAGAAGAAAATTTAGGAGTTTTCTTTTACTATAAAATTTCCCAAGTGATTTTATACATATGTGAATTTGTGTTTTCATATGTAAATTAAACATTTTAGCAATGAACCACACTGCCTGGGGTGCTTGATTTTGGCTCTATTGCAAAGCCATTAATTCATTATTTTGTTTCACTCTGATCCACCTGTACTGATGGCTCCTTCTTTAAACACAATACTGCAATTAATTTTCATTGTGTTAAAATGTTAGCCAGCCCCACAGATACTGCAAAACAGCTTCCTTACAAATTTGTGAGTCCTGATTTTACTAAGGAGTGTTAGTACTTGTTCTCCAGGGGTTTCCTCGAATAATGGCAACAAAGATCTCCTAGAACAAATGGAAATGTTTAGTTGTCTTTTCTGCAACAGAGAAAATTCACTCCCAAATCTCTAGTGTTCCTTACCAGTGTTGTAAAAAAGTAGTGGTAGTATTCAGTCATCATTCCCATGGAGAGAATCTGTTGAAAGATTGAAAGATGAACGTACTTTACTCTGGATGTTTTCAATGTACTGCAATGTCTTTTGAAAAGCATGGGTTAATCTGGAACAATACATTACAGGTTATGAAAACTTGATTACAATAAACCTATTTTTTTCTTCAGGAGCAAAAAATACCCTATTGTATCTAAATTATGTTTTTATCACCTCTTCTCAGGAAAGAGATAAGGACTGCAAAACTTTTAGGGACAAGAAAAATTCCTAGTGATAATAAGAAGCTGATTTTTTAAAAGTGAAAATCTTTAGTCTGCAGTTTACAAGAGTTAAAAAGGAATTTGCTAGCAGACGACAGAATTTGTACAGAAAAGTGCTTAGGTGCAGGTTTTTTTATTCTGCATTACCATGTGAGAACAAGACACTTGGTGAGTGTTCATTGAAGTAAACAAGAAAAACAGAAAGAAGAAAGCTTCTATAAATGCCTTTGGTTCCATCTGGGGAATGCAGGTCCACAGGAGGTTGTCAAAACAACTAGTGCAAAAGGATTTCTGGTCTGGATTAATTTTCCAGAGTCCTGCCTTTTGAAAGTCTGCAAGGTAAGGGTGGCATTTAAATGCATCCTGACTGGCCGCCCCAGGCAGAAGAAGTTGAAGCTTTTATTCCCAGCCTTCACATTGGTTGCAGGAAACTTAGAGAGGGTTGTGTTTCATTCCCTCAGTGCCCCTCCAAAAACCATTGGGAATGCTTATGTAAAACACCCCTGATGGTGTGTAACAGGATGCTCTACAGTTTCAGCCCAGAATCACCTATGCTTGCTGCCGTGTCCATGCACGCTATTATCGTGATGCAAGCATTTTGCCCTCCCTGGGAACTTGCGAAGAGGAGGAGGAATTATGTGCTAGGAAAGTACTGAAGAATTCATTTTTGTGCCAGTAATACAGACAAAGCTTAAATGTTATTCAGTCTTGATCACAGTAGCATAAGCATCTGCTATTAATAGTATTTTAGGACACTTTTAGCAGTGCCTGAATAGCTTTTTGAAAGACGGGAAAACAGTGCGATTTGGCTTGCCAAAATTCTCTTTCATGCCAAAGGCCTCTGAAAATCAGTGGTGTGATGGTGTATGGCAATTCTTTGCATAAAAAAAGAGAAAGAACCTGAACTTTCTGAGCTGCAGTAGATAATAAAGCCAGCTCAGTGTTAATCACAACCAACCAATCAATTGCCAGCTGCTAAAAATCAAGCCAGAAGGCAAGTATTTTATTGAAATGCTCTACTGAACTTACATGTCAAAATTGCCTTTTTATTTCTTATTTTATTAATCCTCTTCTATTACATTCCTTAGAGTTATTTTATTATCTGTGGAAATGAGCAATCTAACAATCCTGGAGACTGATGTTCATTCCCTATTTATGCACAGAAAATGATATAAGGTAGCATCAACGCAAACTTTTGAATGTTGTGTTTCCCTGCTGACCTGGCTGGACTCGGTTCTGCTCCCTGGAGCTGTTGGATTTCTGTGTCTAAGGCCCCTGCTATGGGAAGGAGGTGCCAGTCAGGATTTTTATGATGCAGGTCTCTTTGGAGCTGGAACTGTATTGAAATCAATACAGTTATTTAACCCAGTTACATCTTAGGTGGCACAGATCAGTCTGCTAGGTCATATGAATGCGTTTTGAGCCCAGGTAAACCTCTGTATGTCTAAATTTATTGGGTCCACTACAGGAAGTTTGCAGTTGGTCCATGGTGTTACATTAGTATGAACAGAAGACCATGTTAATAAATGTAAATAGGAGGATACAAATACCCAATTTAAATTATTGATTCATTACAGTTTAAATTGTAGCTTGAGATAGAAGAACTGACATCAAGTCATTGCACTTCTGTTATCAGAAGATATAATCTGCAATCTGCCTGTGCAGAAATAGTAAAACAGTGGAGAACCAGGACAATGCTAAGTCATGTAATGCTTGAGAATACAACTTTACATTAACTAGACAGATACATTAAGTAGAATGATTATAAAGTGTGTAGCCTGGATGTTTCGGAAGCATTACCTAGCTGTGCTGCTGCAGCTACACTGCTACTGGGTATCCAGCTAGTTAATACAACAGGTAGCTGCCTTATTGCTTTCCTCACAAATCCAAGGGCAGTAGCCTGAGAGGAGTGTTTGCCTCCTGAACACATTTTTGATTAAAACTTTTTATGAGAATATTGATTCCCAAGTAATGTGCTGTAGACAGAGCTGGCAGGAGACACACATATCTGTGAATAATAATGATTTCAAAAGTCATGCCACAGGATTGTCTTTGAAAACAAAACAGAACCAAAACTCCTGAAAACCAAGGCATGTAAGAAGCGAAGCAATGTTTTCTGAAGCCAGCAAGTCTTTTTCAGAAGCCAGCAATGTTTTCTGCCATAACAAAGATGCAAGGTAGGAGGGCTCTGCAGAGAGATCTGGACAAGCTGGATCAATGGGCCAAGATCAACTGTATGAAGTTTAAGAAGGCCAAGTGCCGGGTCCTGCACTTGGGCCACATGTAACCCTACAGGTTTGGGGAGGAGTGGCTGGAGAGTTGCCCGGCGGAAAGGGACCTGGGGGTGCTGGTTGACAGCCGGCTAAACATGAGCCGGCAGTGTGCCCAGGTGGCCAATGCCAAGAGTGTCCTGGCCTGTATCAGAACTAGTGTGGCCAGCAGGAGTAGGGAAGTGATCTTGCCCCTGTACTCGGCACTGGTGAGGCCGCACCTTGAATCCTGTGTTCAGTTTTGGGCCCCTCACTACAAGAAGGATGTTGAGGTGCTGGAGCGTGTCCAGAGAAGGGCAACGAAGCTGGTGAGGGATCTGGAGCACAAGTCTTACGAGGAGCGGCTGAGGGAACTGGGGTTGTTTAGTCTGGAGAAGAGGAGGCTGAGAGGAGACCTTATCGCTCTCTACAACTACCTGAAAGGGGGTTGTGGCAAGATGGGTGTTGGTCTCTTCTCCCAAGTAACAAGTGATAGGACGAGACAAAATGGCCTCAAGTTGCACCAGGGGAGGTTTAGACTGGATATTAGGAAAAATTTCTTTACTGACAGAGTGGTCAAACATTGGAACAGGCTGCACAGGGAGGTGGTGGAGTCACTGTCACTGGAAGTTCTCAAAAAACCTTTAGATGTGGCACTTTGGGACATGGTTTAGTGGCCATGGTGGTGTTAGGTTGACGGTTGGACTTGATGATCTTAGAGTTCTTTTGCAACCTTAATGATTCTATGATTCTATGATGGCAATTGCTTGAAGGGTGCCATGGATTTGCCAAGGACCCTGAATCCAAGGGCTCCATGAGAGACGCTCACTGAAATTCTTCTAAAGAGAGTATTGCAGCAGCCCAGGAAAGCTTAATCAACATGTCTCTCTTGTATTTTCTCTATTAACGATGACTCAATTAAGATATGAAACTACAGACAGCTGGAAGAGAGCTTGTAAGTGTCATGCATGTATTACTAATGTCCTTGTCTGGTTAGGGAATAAGAGTTGATGCTGGATCTATCCCAGGCTGAGCCCTGATCTGCCACTGAGCTCTGCTCTCTCACTTAGCATTGGTCACAAGACCAGCCTTAAGTGGTTGTCCTCCCCTCTAACAATCATTAAGGCAATTAGTCAACAGTTATACAGCACTTTGACATTGCTGTGACATGTTAGATTTGTAGACTGACCGAAATAGGGTGCTTTTTATTAATGAACCATAAAGTCTTTGCAATAATAACTTATTTATGGTTTAGGGTATCATGATGGCTAAGTGAAATTCCCAGTGAAGGAAAATTTGATGACAGTACCAAATGCTCACTCTGGAGGATGGTATTAGGAAAACAGGAGATGAAGATAAGTTAAAGGAAAAGCAAGAGGAATGCTGAGTATCATGCTGGAGACCCCAAAGCATTAATGACTTGGATGCCTCTCAGTGTAAATAGGAGAGTTGCACTTGTGTGCTCTCAGCAGCGAGGACTCATCTTCTGCTGTTTGTTTGCAACACAGCAGATACAGGGAAAGCAGCTTCTAGGAACTATCAGGAGAGAGGCAATAACAAAAGCATGTTAGGAGCAAAGATTCCTTTCAGGTTGTGACAACTCTGAAGTAACTGGCAAAGCAGCTGCACAGGTTTTTCCCACAGAGAAAATGAGCAGAGCCACCCAGAAGAGAGAAGGGAAGGCAACAAGATTGTTTACGTGTATAAAGCCACTCATAGGAAACTAGAATGAGATTTCATTACACATTCCTATATAAGCAACTTTGCACATAATTATTTAAATAATCATGCATATGCTATAAATGTCATATTTAAATAATAGCAGCTTTTACTTACTGTGGAACTTAGATAAATGTAAACTAGTGAAACCAGGCTAAAATATTCTGCATTGTCCTTGCAGATCTCCTAGCCTTCATAGACTGTATAAAATCTGTTCTTCAGCCAAACTCAGATATGGTTTGATAATAGATTACCCTGGCAAATAAGATAAAGAGAATTCCACCTCTAATTATCCATTTTAGATGAGATGTTTGGGCCATGTCTTTCACAGACCTGTACTTTTAGCTTTGGTCATGAACTGCAATGTGAATCTGAACAAGCATTGGTGGTCAAAATACATATGGCAAGTGCATAGGAGACCGGACAAAAATATTCTCTCTTATGTCTGTAAATCTCTTTGAGCACCTTGTTCCTGGCTTGCGTTACATCCCAGCTCCAACCTACATTTGTTCATTTAGAGCTAGTGTCAGTCTTCCTTCAAGACAGGTTGAAAATAGAATGATGGTGGAGCATATTAGCAGGAACTGCATCAAACCCTTTGTTTGTTTTCACTTTGCATTTTCCTCACTCGTGCTATTATTTAATTTCATGGCCATTAAATGAATGCATTTCATTATCCAATTAGTTAGTACCACCACTGTTTTCTAAGATCAGCAAGATACACCATAATGAATAAAAGCCTCTCTGCCTCCTTGCTTCTCAAGTGTTTGATATAAAAACTTTATATTGTGTTTACAG